AATAATGCTGTCATATGATATCACCACAGCAATGATTCACACAATTTTATATTTATGGTTGCTTTTCCAAATATGAAATGCCAATATTAATCCCATGCCATTGCATTTTCATGTTCTTGGTGTTTTTATGGCAGTGACATGAAGATGAATCAAGAGGTAACTGGAATTAAGCATCAGTCTGCCAAACATTAAACTAGATATGCTGCTAAATTTATCCCTGTGTCTTTTTTTAATCCTCTAGCATATGCTCAGAATTGCTCCATTGTATTCCGCCACAACATAAAGACATTAAACTGTGTCAGACAGTTCATTTTTCCAAAGCTGTAGGCTCTGTGACTCAGTGACATCACTATAACAAGGGAAAAACACACAGTTGGTGAATTCAGGGGGTTTCCCTTTGTTCAAAGATAGGTGATGCATTGTAAACAGCCTTTTTTTAAAAAAAATCCAACAGCAGAGAGAGGATTACAAAAGAAATCTAATGAATAGCCTTTCCACCAGAGTTATGCAACCGTAGCAAAACAGAACTCTGTGAGATTTGCAACTCGTGAAAATGCACGTCTGCTGCCACAACGCTGCTGAGCACGGCTGTAGCCTGCATTCACCAATGCAGCTCTGGTCCGGTAAGTTCACTTCTGAAATGGGCTGCTTGTTGCAACCAATGGAAGAGAAGCCCAAGGTTGTCGGGAAGCTCAGGCTTGACAAGGCAACTTGACAGTGGGGAAAGAATTGTTATAATAAGAGCTGTCACAGCGTAGCATCTAAGAGACTGAGAGATATATGTCATCCCGGTTCCACCCTTTGCCACCAAGCTATTAGTCAAGTCAATCTTCCTTAGACACAATCCTGGATTTATGCACGAACAAAAACATGAATATGAATAACCTACCTCACAGGGCTCTAATAAAAATTACTATAACAATGTATGTGCCGTGTAGTTGCAGACATGTCAACTATAATTATTATAGTTACAGCTCAAAGCTGACAATTAAGGGAGACACCTGATGAAAGGAAGCATGGTTGATCAAGCCTAGGAGTTTCAGTCGCTGCTTAGTCAATGAAATCTGCATTTGCATAATATTCGGAAGTTAAAGAACATGTTTTCTCAATCAGGTTACGAAGAAATACATTTGGCCAATTTCAGAAGAACTATGGCCGTGAAGAAAAGGACAGAATAGCCGCCTGACAGTCTGCTCAGAAATGCAGATGATGTTTCTTTCCTTGATGGAGTGGAAATGCTAATTCTACTTTTCCAAGCCGGCTCCTCCAAGAGATGTGATGAGTACCAGCAACATGCTGCCTCATGAGCGAACTCCAAGCTTCCACCCCACTGTCTCTACTCTTCCCCTTTACCGACAGGATTTACGATCATTTATAATGGGGAGATCTTTCATCAGAACACTGATTTGATTCATCAATAGTTCAGTTCTAAAAACATATCTGTAAGTCCCGCTGACTTCAAAGAGGCTTCTTTCCCTGAACGGCAGCATAGTATTGTCATTCTCTGGTAAAGCAGTATAGGATTGCCGTCTCTGAGTTGTATCCGGTGAAAAACATTGATCAGGTCACAAGCTGAAAGCCTGGATCCCTGTTTAAGGGTGATATATGCAGGTTGGCCATCATTCAAGACACCACTGGATGTGCTTAAAGCAGAGGTGTCAAACACATTCCCATCTAGGGCTACGTCAGCCTGATGGTTGCCTTCAAAGGGCTGCTGGATCCTTAGATGGAGAATCCGTGGATGCAGAAGACCAACTATAATTATTTTACAAAGTGGTCAGTGCTCTCTAGCTTTTACTAAATGATTAGGTCCATAATTTTATTGTTTTTTTTGTTACTTGATTGTGCTGTATTTTGTGTTTTATATCGTTTGGATATGTTATTAATTGTTTACTCCATTTTATGTATTTTATTGTATTGCACTTATTGTATTGTTTATGTTGTAAGTCCCCTGGGGAGAGGGGTGGGATATAAATAAACATCATCATCATCATCATTATTATTATTATTATTTTACTGACACAAAAACACAGTAAAATAATAATAATAATAATAATAATAATGTTTATTTATATCCCATTCCTCTCCCCAGGGGACTTAACAACATAAACAATACAATAAGTGCAATACAATAAAATACATAAAACTATTATTATTATTATTATTATTATTATTATTATTATTATTATTACTACTACTACTACTACTACTACTACTACCCATTTTCAGTCCCCAGATGTTTCTAAAGCAACAACTCCCTTCACTTTTTATTATATCCACCATGAGGACTGGGGATAATGGGACTTGCAACCCAACCACCCTTGTGGGTCTGAGGTTGGAGAAAGCTTGAAGGACATTTTAAAGTCAAGCATCACACTCACAACTCTTGTTTCTAAATCCAAATCCCTCTTTTGACTAAACAGAACAAACTTCTAGATGTGACGACCATATCTCAACTCTTATCAGCTCCAGCCATGATGCTGAATGAGGAAGAATAGAGGAGTTTTAGTCCTGCATCTGGAGGACCGCATGAAAAAAAGGACACATGGTGGGCTGGATTTGGACTGGATTTGACGTCATGTTGGATGTATGTGGCATGAGGCCATGGAAATCGATGCTCTTCCTACATGACAAGGGGTTGGACCCTTCCGCACAGCTGAATAAAATCCCAAATTATCTCTTTTGAACTGGAATACATGACAGTGTGGACTCAGATAACCCAGTTCAAAGCAAAAATCGTGGAAGGATGTCCTTGGGAGTATCCTTCTTCTGCGCTGAAATATCTTGACTGATCCATGACTGCCTTGCCACATCAGTTGATGGTCAACTTCCTTCAGGTGACTCCAGAAGAAGGGATCTTGAAGATCCCTTCTCCCTGGGATCTTCAAGAAGATTTGGCCAGGAGTTTACTACAAGGAAGGGGGGGGGGCATGAGGCAACTTCTGGAGAAGGATAGGGATGTCAAACCTAGTCAGAGGCGAGGGGGAAAGCTGGGTGCCATCTGCCCCTTTCCTCCTGGGTAGGGGGATGCATGAGGTAACTTCTGGAGAAGGATAGGGATGGATGCCAGGGAAAGGTGGGTGCCAGGCAGTAGAGGGTGGTTAAGTCCACACACTCCTTTCCCTCGGGGCAGGAAGGGTTAGAGCCCCACTAAGGAGGAAACCCCAAGTAGTGCAGTGGGTTAAACCACTGAGCTGCTAAACTTCTTGACCGAAAGGATCCGAGGAGCGGCATGAGCTTCCACTGTCAGCCCCAGCTCCTGCCAACCTAGCAGTTCGAAAACATTCAAATGTGAGTAGATCAATAGATACCACTCCAGCGGGAAGATATTTATTTATTTCGTATCAAAAGCACTGCATAAATTAGTATAAAAACTGATAAAAATAGAAGGAACGCAGACGGCTAAATATCTTTTGACCAAAAACGGGCAACAGCAACGGCATTGTCCAAAAATTCTTCCTCTGTACATGAGGCAGGGCATAGTGGACAAGCATACAGATGCGGAGTTGTCTGTTCTGCTCCACATTCACACAAGGTGTGGGATTCTTTTAGAGAGTGCCAGTGAGCCAGGTTGTCTTTTGATCTGCCCACTCCGCTTCTGAGTCTCTTCAAGAGCAGCATATGTGAAAAAGATCTTGGGGTCTCATGGACAACAAGTTAAACATGAGCCAACAATGTGATGTGGCAGCAAAAAAAGCCAATGGGATTTTGTCCTGCACCAATAGGAGTCTAGTGCCTAGATCTAGGAAGTAATGCTACCCCTCTATTCTGCTTTGGTTAGACCACACCTGGAATATTGTGTCCAATTCTGGGCACCACAATTCAAGAGAGATATTGACAAGCTGGAATGTGTCCAGAGGAGGGCGACTAAATGATCAAGGGTCTGTAGAACAAGCCCTATGAGGAGCGGCTTAAGGAGCTGGGCATGTTTAGCCTGAAGAAGAGAAGGCTGAGAGGAGACATGATAGCCATGTATAAATATGTGAGGGAAGTCATAGGGAGGAGGGAGCAAGCTTGTTTTCTGCTGCCCTGGAGACTAGGATGCGGAACAATGGCATCAAACTACAAGAGAGGAGATTCCATCTGAACATTAGGAAGGACTTCCTAACTGTGGGAGCCGTTTAGCAGTGGAACTCTCTGCCCCGGAGTGTGGTGGAGGCTCCTTCTTTGGAAGCTTTTAAACAGAAGCTGCATGGTCATCTGTCAGAGGTGCTTTGAATGAAATTTTCCTGTTTTTTGGCAGGGGGTTGGACTGGATGGCCATGAGGTCTCTTCCAACTCTATGATTCTATGATTCAGAGACTTCCAAGTTGCCCATTCTCGTGCCCAATCCAGTTGGGATTTCCTGGTTTAGCTGGCCAGAGGGATACCCTTGCTGCTGCTGGGTGGGACGGAGGGACGCCAAGAGGAGGTATGGCGGGAAGGTTCGGTCGTGTCAGGAGCGACTTGAGAAACTGCAAGTCGCTTCTGGTGTGAGAGAATTGGCCGTCTGCAAGGACGTTGCCCAGGGGACCGCCCGGATGAATTGGTGTCTTTATCATCCTTGTGGGAGGCTTCTCTCATGTCCCCGCATGAGGAGCTGGAGCTGACAGAGGGAGCTCATCCGCCTCTCCCCGGATTCCAACCTGTGACCTGTCGGTCTTCAGTCCTGCCGGCACAGGGGTTTAACCCACTGCGCCAGCGGGGGGCTCCGGCGGGAAGGTAAGGGCGCTCCATGCAGGCATGCCGGCCACATGACCTTGGAGGTGTCTACGGAAAACGCCGGCTCTTTGGCTTAGAGATGAACACCAACCCCCAGAGTCAGGGGAAAACCTTAAGGAGGGATAGGAAGTGGGCATTGAGACATAGAGATGGGATTGCCCAGAAGAAGAAGAAAGGGAAGGGGGCACTTCTTCCCAAAGCACAGCAGAAGCAACAATGGGGAGCAAAGGGGAGGGGGGCAGGAGAGAGGAGGCGCCTTGTCCTCTCTCTCCCCTTCTCTCTCCCTCGCTGGCACTCACCGGGGGCGTCTTGCTGGCCTGCCAGGTCTCCGGCCAGCAGGGCGAGGAGCAGGAGCGAGGCCAGGGCGCCCAGCTGGCCCACGAGCAGCGCCTGCCTCCTCCGCCGGCGACGAAGCGGGAGCATCGCGGCGAGCGAGCGGAGATGCCCCAGCGAGGCGAGGTGGCGGCGAGGGAGCTGCTCCGAGAGGCGAGCCGGGCTCACTCCGCGCCGCTTCCCAGCCTGGCTGCCGCTCCTGCCGCGGCTTCTGCCTGGAGGGCGCTCGGCGGCGGCGCGGCGGGGACGAGGCGCTGCGCCATGGGCAGGGCTGCCTCTCTGCCCTCTCTCTCTCCCTCTCTCCGTATCCGCGCCCAGGCGGAGATTGGGGGGCGCCCGACTCGCCGCCCGGCTCCGCCCCCTCTTTCCCTTTCTCCTCCTCCTGCTCCTCCTCGCCGCTGGAGGGCGCTTCAGGGCCCCGCCTCCTCGCGCTCTTCCTTCACAGCTGAGGACCCCCCTGGAATGGATCTGGGATTGCAGACCCCAAGATTAGTGGCCCCCTTTGGAGCCCTGGCCCTGGGTAAAGCCTCTGAGAGACACCCCCACAGTCTTCCTCCCTCCCCTCACCAAGGAAGGGGCTCCACTCACTGAGAATGCCTGACCTCAATTGACTTGGCCAACTAACTGTTGCCTTTCGTGGACATGATCTTCACTGCATGAGAGCTCCAAGAAAAATGCAGGGAACAAAACCAACCTCTGTATGGCATTCATCGACCTTGCAAAGGCATTCACACAGTGAATCGCAGCACTCTCTGGACCATCCTCCAAAAAATCGGGTGCCCTAACAAATTTGTGAACATCCTGCGGCTCCTCCATGATGACATGATGGCAATAGTCTTGGACAGCAATGGCTCCCAAAGTGACCCATTTAAGGTGGAATCCGGTGTCAAACAGGGATGTGTTATTGCCCCAACTCTATTCTCCATCTTCATTGCTATGATACTTCACCTTGTTGATGGGAAGCTTCCCACCGGAGTGGAAATCATCTATCGGACAGATGGCAAGCTGTTTAACCTCAGCAGACTGAAAGCCAAAACCAAGGTTACAACAACATCTGTTATAGAACTCCAGTATGCTGATGACAACGTCGTCTGTGCGCATTCAGAAGAAGATCTACAAGCCACTCTAAACACCTTCGCAGAAGCATATGAGAAGCTCGGCTTGTCACTTGTCACCAAGATTCTGTTCCAGCAGTCACCAGCCAATCCCTCTCCAATGCCAGTGATACAGCTTAATGGTGTAACATTAGAAAATGTTGATCATTTCCGCTACCTTGGCAGCCACCTCTCCACCAAAGTCAACATCGACACCGAAATACAACACCGCCTGAGCTCTGCAAGTGCAGCATTTTTCCGAATGAAGCAGAGAGTGTTTGAGGACCGGGACATCTGTAGGGAGACCAAGGTGCTTGTTTATAAAGCTATTGTCCTCCCAACCCTGCTATATGCCTGTGAAACGTGGACTGTCTACAGACGTCACATGCAACTCCTGGAACGATTCCATCAGCGCTGCCTCCGGAAAATCCTGCAAATCTCTTGGGAAGACAAGCGGACAAACGTCAGCGTCCTGGAAGAAGCAAAGACCACCAGCATTGAAGCAATGGTCCTCTGCCATCAACTCCGCTGGACCGGCCACGTTGTCCGGATGCCCGACCACCGTCTCCCAAAGCAGTTTCTCTACTCCTAACTCAAGAATGGAAAATGGTATGTAGGAAGACAGGAAAAGAGATTTAAATATGGCTCAAAGCCAACCTTAAAACTCTGGCATAGACACTGAGAACTGGGAAGCCCTGGCCCTTGACGCTCCAGCTGGAGGTCAGCTGTGACCAGCAGTGCTGCAGAATTTGAAGAGGCACGAATGGAGGTGAAAGGGAGAACGTGCCAAGAGGAAGGCGCATCAAGCCAACCCCAACCAAGACCGTCTTCCACCTGGAAACCAACGCCCTCACTGCGGGAGAAGATGCAGAGCAAGAATAGGGCTCCACAGCCACATACGGACCCACAAGAACACTGGAAGACAATCATCCTCGGAAAACGAGGGATCGCCTAACTAACTAACTATTTGGGGAAAGGAATATGCTGAGGAAATGCTGCTCATGGTTATTTTATTTATCGTATCAGGTATTTATTTATTGTGTCAGGAGCAAACCAAACAGTTGCATTGCATTTTTTAACAGACAGACAGACAGACAGACAAACAAGACACAAAGTTTGCAAGCTTGGTAGTTGATTAAATGTCCTCTGACCAGTATCTGGCCACTTGGAGTGCTTCTGGTGTTGCTGCAAGGAGGTCCTCCATTGTGCATGTAGCAGGGCTCAGGTTGCATTGCAGCAGGTGGTCTGTGGTTTGCTCTTCTCCACACTTGTATGTTGTGGATTCCACTTTGTAGCCCCATTTCTTAAGGTTGGCTCATCATCTCGTGGTACAGTCTGTTCAGCGCCTTCCAAGTCGCCCAGTTTTCTGTGTGCCCAGAGGGGAGTCTCTCATTTGGTATCAGCCATTGATTGAGGTTCAGGGTTTGAGCCTGCCACTTTTGGACTCTCGCTTGCTGAGGTGTACCAGCGAGTGTCTCTGTAGATCTTAGAAGACAATTTCTTGATTTAAGTCGTTGACATGCTGACTGATACCCAAACAAGGGATGAGCTGGAGATGTCACTGCCTTGGTCCTTTAATTATTAGCTGCTACTTCCCAGCAGATGTCAGGTGGTACAATACCGGCTAGACCAGGGGTCCTCAAACTAAGGCCCGGGGGGCGTATACGGCCCTCCAAGGCCATTTACCTGGCCCTCACTCAGGGTCAATCTAAGTCTGAAACAACTTGAAAGCACACAATAACAACAATCCTATCTCATCAGCCAAAGCAGATCCACACTTCCCATTGAAATACTAATAAGTTTATATTTGTTAAAATTGTTCTTCATATTGTTCTTCATATTAATTATTGTATTACTTTTAAGTGTTTTTTGCACTACAAATATATGTGCAGTGTGCATATGAATTCATTCATATTTTTTTCAAACTATAATCTGGCCCTCCAACAGTTTGAGTGACTGTGACCTGGCCCTCTGTTTAAAAGGTTTGTGGACCCCTGGGCTAGATAGTGTAATTTTTCCAGTGGTGTAGGACGCAGACACCCCGTGATAATGCGGCATGTCTCATTAAGAGCCACATCCACTGTTTTAGCGTGGTGTGATGTGTTCCACACCAGGCATGCATACTCAGCAGCAGAGTAGCATAGCACAAGGGCAGATGTCTTCACTGTGTCTGGTTGTGATCCCCAGGTTGTGCCAGTCAGCTTTCGTGTGATATTACTTCTAGCGACCACTTTGTGCTTGATATTCAGGCATTGCTTCTTGTAGGTCAGAGCATGGTCCAGAGTGACTCCCAGGTATTTGGGAGCGCTGCAATGCTCCAGTGGGATTCCGCTGCCCCCTTAGGACCCCCACAAGGAACCTCATCCACTCTCCTTAATGTGAATTTTTTTTTAAATTGAACAATGCCATTACATTTTATATTTTTCAAATACAGTGTTGCTGCCCTTCATCACAGTGGAAGAAGGCTTTCCTTGAGATGTCTTTCCCAGCTCTCATAGCAGCTGCCTGGACTTTTTTAACTGTCTCAGAATGATGTCCTTTGAGGTGGGTTTTGAGCTTCAGGAAAGAAATCTGATACCAACATTGCTCTCTGGCTGTACAGCAGGTAAGGAAGCCAGAGAGCAGGTCTCAGTTTTTGAAGCTGAAGAACGCTGGACCAGACTCCGCATTTTCTCCTGTGACCAGACACAAAAACTGTGACACACTTTGTTAACCTACCAACTGCTACGAAGGTGTGGACTCAACTGAAGAAGTTTAAACTATATGCCTGGCTTCCCCCTCAACCTGCCTCAACTCCTTGTTTTCTTTCCAAGCCCTTCTGTTCTGGAAATTACTACTTTTTGGACAGACCACACATACATACATGCCGTACACACATGCATTGCCCTTAATCTTGTGATGAGGTGCATTTGTGAGCCAGCCAGAAAATGCCACCTCTGATAGAGATGTTTGTGTTAGAAATTCTGCCATGGATGGAAAAAAAGAGGGAGAAAGAAAGTTCCTTATTCGAGGAAAGCCTGTCCCCACCTCCAAATGGATCCCATTCAGCTTGACTGACAAAAACAATTAATGATGTTATTTATTCTGATTTTTCCAAACACACGTCCCCAAAGTATTTGAAGTCATTTTCTCCCCAGGGATTCCTCACAATTAAAAAAGACTGCCTATGTAAGCCATACTTGCTGACAGATGGTGAAAGTATGTCCTCAAAATATGCAACCTAATATCTATATTCGTGGAAGCTTTGCATAATTCTCTTGTTCTTTACCTTTTGCAAATCCTAAATAGTTCATATTCAGCGCTCACTGTTGGTGGCATGAAAATCATTATCCCAAGCGCTGTTGTAAATACTGTAACACATCTACAAAAAACGTGATGCGCACCTTGCCATTCAGAGTTACTTGACAGAAAAGCCATGTGCTGGGGGAAGTATGTGTTATCCAGCACATGCTGAGCCTGGGAGGAGACAAGAAACACAGAAAATAGAAATGTGGCATCCAAATGACAGCTTTATCTCAAGAGCCCATCGATCAGGAACTGGACTGGCAACAAAGCTCAGATGTAGAAGCCTCTAATGAGCTGTGGGCACACCTCAACTCACATCCTTGAATTTCACAACACACATCATAAGGTCACAGCACACACACATACACTGTTCCATCATCCTTACTAGTTCAGCCAGCAAAGAACCTGCAAATGCCAGTCCTTTAGCATACCTACAGATGATGACTGATGGAAAATGGCACTAGGAAAGCAACCCATTGGATTCTCTTGGACCTTCTAGCATACCAGGGGTTACTCTGGATGGAGTTTCAGAATTGGACTTCAGTTATTTTCTATTTATTTATTTTCATTATTTATACTCCACCTGTCTCACCCAGAGCGGGACTCAGAGCAGCTTACAGAACACACATGCTGCAAACATTCAATGCTGATTATACAGTTAACGAGGATGAACAACACAAACAGAGGTAAAGGCAGCCTTTCCCCATCTTATTTCCAGCATCTTGAAGGCTGTGCTTAACTCCGGCCACAGGGGAGTGTGGTGCTCTTGCTCCATCTTCCATGCCGAGGAGCTTTCTTCCAATTGATGTCCTTAAGGTTGCCTTTATTACCTCCCAAGGTACCTATTTTATCTACTGACATTTCTGCTTTCGACCTGCTAGGCGGGCAGGTGAGCTGGGGCTAATAGTGGGTACTCACCCCAACCTGGGCTTGAACTGCTGACCTTTCAGTCAGCAGGATTTTTCTGCAGCACAGTGGTTTAGCCTG